TGGACAAGTATTATGCTAAGCGAAATAAGCCAGTCAGAGAAAGACATGTATCACGTGATCTTACTCATATGTGGAATCTAATGAACAAAATAGATCCAGAGGCATAGAAGCTTGGTACTGACGAATCTCAGAGGGAAGGCAGGGGTGGGTGGGTGGTTGGGAAGAGATTAACCTAAGAACTCATATGCATATATGCATAACCCACGGACACACACAATAGTGTGGTGAAGGCCTGGGAGAAGGGGTGCAGCGTGGAGATCAATGGGGAAAAAAGGAGACATTTTTATTACTTTCAATAATAAAGATAAATTTAAAATTAAAAGAAAAGTAAAGATGACAAAATTAAGGGAGTAAAAATTAAAATTAGTATGAAAGAATAAGAAACAAATAAAACCAAAAAGACCAAAACTAGAGAAAAAAGTTAGAAATTAAGAAAAAAAGTATGATTAGCAAAACACAGAAATAAAAGAAGGATAAACTTTAAAATACTGAAATGTATAATATTTGAGATAAAGGAGACAAAAAGGCTAATACCAAAAACAAAAAGATAAAAGCATGCAAGCAAATATGATAAAAGAGTTTAAAAAATTAAAAGAACTTAAATGTTCTCACCCCCAGAAACAAAAACAATAAACAGATAAATATGCAAGGTGATGGATTTGTTAATTAACCAGACTGGGAGAATCCTTTCACAATGTACAAGCATATCAAATAATCACAATGTACACTTTCAACACTTTACAATTATATGTGCCAATTATATCTCAATAAAAAATAAAAAGAGGTGATACGTTAAAATGAGGTCATTATGGTGGAGCTCTAATCCAATATGACTGGTGTCTTTATAAAAAGAAGCTATACCAGGAATGCAAACACACAGAGAAATCAAAGTGAAGAGGCAGCAAGAGGAAGGCCATCTACAAGCCAAGGAAAAGGGCCACAGAGAAAGCAAACCTGTGAATACCGTGACATTGAACTTCCAGTCTCAGAACTGTAAGAAAATAAATTTCTGTTGATTAAACCCCATACCCACCCCAAATTAAAAGACTAAGAAGTTAAACATTCAAAAAATTAAGCATACAAATGTTAAATGCCAGCTTTCAACCCTAGTTTTGCCCCTGGAGTCTTAGAATTACTGAATGCTTCTAGAAAAAGTTTTGTATTAACGTTTTCTTTTTAAAAGGCTAATCATGAAGAAAGCACCCTGGCATGAGTGACCTTCCCCCTTTAGTTAAGCTGAATTGAGAATGTTAATAAAAGACTGTCCAACATTCTTTCTATCAAAAGTATATTAGTGATTCCAGATAGACTGTGACTACCTGGAGAGAGGGTTCCAGTGTCAATGAAAAGGATTAACATTTTTTTAAGGACTAATAAAATGTAAGATAAAAAAGACAACACCTACTTTAAGAGGGCACCAGGCTACCACCTCCTGACATGAATTTACAAATCACATATTAAAAACACCTATAAAAACACACACAAGAAAAGACAGAAAAAAAAGCAGAACCTGATTTGAACAATAACAATTTGCTAGAGTCTGGGAGAAACATCTACTAACTATAGCATGGATAGAGACAGAGAAACACACCAATGGATCAAATGCACCCTTGCCTTTGAAGGGGAATGGCACAGCACCCAGAAAGTATGTGGGAAGATAGCTAAACTCTTCACCTCTCTCTATCCCTAAGCCAAAATTTATGGGTTTGTTGCTATCAGAAAATAGGTGGGCCAGCCCCACACTGGGTGAGTCCTGACAGCCACTCTCCCCTGCCCATCCAGCAGCTCTTTTTCTATATCCATTCTGAGACTATAATCGTAGTAAGTACAACCCCACAATAAATAGAGTCAGGACTGGCCATGGCAACAATTTACTCTAGGAAATAAAACAATATGGAGAAAAGCATTGATTTAGACACTTAATTGGTATACAAAAAGACTGTCTGTAATAACCAAGTGGAATGGGAATAAAGAGGTGCTATGCCAAGAAGGAAATGGGAGAAACTCAGAGAAGGAGAGATTTCAAGGAAACTAGAAAATGCAACAGCAGAACTGACATAAGCACAGGAGAAGAAAAGCAGAATTAACATGGCAATAAAGCTGAACTCATAATGAAGAAAAGTTACATTCAAGAACTTTTCCCATAATGTAGATTAAAAGGACAAATATATGAAAATACAAAGTGAGAAAAATGACAAATGCAGATTTTAGAACCAAGAGTTAACCAAACAAATCATTGTAATTACTGTTAAATGAAAAATGAGATAAAACAAAAATTGTACTACAAAAAAACAAAACAAAACAAAAAACCAGAGCTGAAAAAGACAATGCACCACGTTCCTGTTCTATTCACCAATACTGGCAAAATTTTTATATTACAGGCAAAAAAAGAAAGAAAAGAAATCAGTTCCTAAAAATATACATATAAAGGATAGGAATTCCCTCCCAGAGACAATGAAATAATAACAATAAATTCCTGAGAAGTAAAAAGTGTGATCCAAGAACTCTATAACCAACCAAACTATGAAGACAAAAGGAAGGCATTATACATTTGGAAATAACTCAGATATTATATAATCTACAGAGCCTTCCTGAAACATTAGTTGAAGATATATTACATCTTATAAAAAACATCCAAATTCCTTAGAAATAATGGTATATTAGGACTGACAACTGAGAACAATTAAATTAGTTAGATCTAAGTAATTATTGATAGTATGGTTACAAAATAAATAAAAACATCTAGTACTTTTTAAAAAAGATTATATATAGTACTTACATTTACGCTATAGTCTAAAATTTCAGATAACTAAATATAAAATGTGAGTAAAATCATGCTGAAGGCCTTATTCATTGTAATTGAGGTAAAAATATTGTACTTTTTGTCTTAATGTTGAGAAATTAATAAAATTAATAGTATGATGCAAATTCACTAAAGCAAACAAGCCTTAGCCATAGGAACAATATCATACTAATTAAAATAATAAATGTAAAAGGTTTAGATAATCATATTATGTTAGGAATGTCAAAGTAGAGCTGTCTAGCTGGAGACAGGCCTCATCCCAGAGCCTCCTTGCCCAGGACCAACTAGTAGTCCTGCTGTTTCATAATTGATCTGTAACACTATTGAGCAGTTCTACAGTCCTACTGTATCACAACTGAGCTGTTTGCACTAAAGTTTCCTTCTTCACTGCACCTCAAATTGGGGGTTCCTGTCGGTGTTGAAATGGCACCAAGGATGGTTAGTTGACAGTAGGCTCCAAAGATGGCCTTCAGTGAACCACACCGCCTGGTATTTCAACCCTCTTACATGAATCTGGGATTGCTCTGTGACTCATTGCAATCAATGAGGCAGAATTGACGCTGTGGCAGTTTTCAGGAAGCTTGGAAGCTTCAAAGAGGCTTGCAGCTTCCACTTCAGCACTCTGGTGAGCCCTAAAATGCCCTATAAAAAGTATGGTTACCCTGTCAGAAAGAACATATTGCAAATACCATGTGAAGAGGCCACCTGGTCTGAGACTAGACAGAAGATAGATAGATACTGATACCCCACTCTCCCAACATTCCAATTGAGCCCAGCCATCCCTACAAGCCACATGAATGAGCTATCATGGACATTCTAGTCTATGTGAGCCATCAGATGACCACAATATTAGCAGAGTTCATGGAGCAGAACTACCCAGCTGTTCCAACCATGAATCATGAGAGATAATAAAATGGTTCTAGTTTGCCTGGCCAGCGTGGCTCAGCAGTTGAACATTGATTGACCTATGGTCCAGGAGATTATGGTTCAATTCCTAGTCAGGGCACATTCCCGGGTTTCGGGCTCAATACCCAGCAGGGCACGTGCAGGAGGCAGCTGGCCAATGAATCTCTTTCATCACTGCTGTTTTTCTCTCTCTCCCCCTCCCCCTTCCTCTCTCAATAAATAAATCAATAAAAATACATATTTTTAAAAATGGTTCTAGTTTGATGCAACTAACTATAGAGATGGTTTGTTATTCAGCAAAAGAAAACCAAAAATCTTAAAAAGCTCTTTTGAAAGGATTAAAAAAACTATTTCAAATGTATGTTACTTTTAGAGCAACAATTTAAAAAGCAATGAAAGGCTTCAAAATAGAAGATCTGGCATATTCAAACAAAAACAAAGCAGAGTAATATTAAAAAACTAAAATTCAAGGCAAAATGCATTTATTTTACTCTTTTAAAATATTTTATTTTTCAATTACACTTTACATACAATATTATTTTGAATTAGTTTCATTTGTACAGTATATCGGTCAGACAATAATATACTTTACAAAGTGTTCACCTTGATATTCGACCCCTCATTATTATTACAGTATTATTGACTACATTTCCTATCATGTACTTTAAGGCAAAATGCATTTAATTGGGGAAAAGACAGACATAAAAATAGAAGATCTGTGATATTCAAACAAAAACAAAGCAGAGTGGAAATATTCAAAGAGTAGAATTAAAGGCAAAATACATTTAATTAAAAAAAGACAGACAAAAATGTAATAGATATAAACATTAGTAGCAAACAACATAACACTAAAATATAGAAAGCCAAAAACTACTAAAGATATAAGAAAAAAAATTAAAAACAATAGTAGGAACCGACATGTCATTTTCCATCTTTAACAAATCTAATACTGACATAGAAGTACGGAACAGACTGAAGAATCTCAGAATGAAAGCAGGGGTAGGTGGTGGGATGGGTGGGAAGAGATTAACCAAAGAATTTATATGCATATATGTATACCCCCTAGACAAAGACAATAGTGTGGTGAAGGCCTGGGACGGGGGCAGGGCTAGGTAGAAGGGGTCAATGGGGAAAAAAAGGGGACATCTGTAATACTTTCAACAATAAAGATAAATTTAAAAGAAAAGCAGTCAAGAACAGTAAATTTGCATATATTTTTAACCTTGCAAAGTTCAACATGTGTATGCGTGTATGTGTGTGTATGTATCTGTGGATACATATTTGAACTTACTGAGACATTCCTGTATGTAGCAGGTGGAATTCATCCCATAAGGCTTGTGAGAATGACATAAATGTTCTCCTATTCCCATTGTCCAGTCCTGTGACTACTTCCTGGAGAATAAATCTGTACAACTCTTGAGAAGGGAAAGCAAGAGTAGATCAGCAATTATGTATTTAAACCAATTCATGTGAACCATAGTGGAAATTCATCTCCACAGGATTGCAAATGGCAAACTATTATCCTTAATTTTGAAGACTAAAATTTGAAACTAAGTTTTAAATAAGAAGAAAAAACTTAAATCAGCTTATTATCATTTTCAATAAGAATAAAATAAACCAAAAATGTTAAAGGTTTTTATCTATTCATTTATCAACAACTTATTGTCAAATGTGTCCAAAATACTAGGCACCATGCTATGCGCTGGAAATACAGCAGACAACAAAACAGGCTGTTTATGGACTTTATATTGTAGTAGGAACACACACACACACACACACACACACACACACACACACACAACCAGCCAATGAGATTAGTTTAGTGAAAAATACTTTGGAATAAATAGAGTGTAAAGAGAATAAGCAAGCCACAGACTAGAAGAATATATCTTGCAAAGGATATATCTGATAAAGGACTGTTATCCAAAATGTACAAAGAACACATAAAACTAATCAATAAGGAAATGAACAACCTAATTAAAAAATGGGCAAAAAATCTGAAGAAACGTCTCACCAAAGAAGACATACAGATGGCATATAAGCATATAAAAAGATACTCAATGTCATATGTCATTAGGGAACTGTAAATTAGAACAACAATGAGGCACAGTTATGGACCTGTTAGAACTGCTAAAATCCAAAACACTGACAACACCAAATGCTGAAAGTGGAGAAAGCACTGTTGATGGAAATGCAAAGTGGTACATCCATTTTGAAAGAGAGTTTGGCAGTTGCTTACAAAAGCAATATATATAAATACATATGATATGTAAGAATAAGAAAGTGTAAAAGAGCAATTTTAGCTGTTAAGTGAAGAAAGGCCTCTCTGCCAAGGTGACAACTGACTTGAGACTCAAGGACTAATTTGAAAACCAGGGGAAAGCAAAGTAAAGCAGGCTAAGGCTTTGAGGCAGCCACCAGCTTGGTATATTCCAGAAGCAGAAAGCAGCTAGTGTGGTAAAAGAGGGAGGGCTGGTAGGAAGGGTCTTCACAGTAGAGTATATAAGAGAGTATGGTTTTTATTCCAAGCATAATGAGAAGCTGCTGAAGGTTTCAAACAAGGGATGACATAGTCTGGCCGGCTTTTCTTTTAAAAATTTCTCTAGAAAGAGTAAGAATGTAAGTAGGAAATCCTTGAAGATATACCACGTTAGGACACAAAATAAGTCTTAACAAACTCAAGGAGACTGAAATCATATCAAGCACTTTCTCTGACCCGAACGGTATTATGCTAAGAGAAATAAGCCAGTCAGAGAAAGACAAGAATCACAAGATTTCCATTATATGTTGAATCTCATGAAAAAAATAAACTGGCGAACAAAACAGATCCAGAGACATAGAAGCATGGAACAGATTAACCAAAGGATTTATATGCATAGCCCATAGACACAGACAATAGTGTAGTGA